TAAGGTACCAAAGCCACATGCGATAAATTGCAAGTCGAAGACTGCGATTCTCAGCATTAAGGTTGCTGCCCTGTAATCCTTGGTTGACGAAAGGTGACCTAAAGCTGGAAGTATGTACATGTTTCTATCCTCCCTGCCTAGCTGATTAGTGATAAGGCGTGGGGAAAAAATGTCCTGTTTCCTGTTTCCGGACCAAAAAACTGCCGACCCTAGCCTTTTTGTGTGCGGTGGTCCCCTGCAAGGGACATAAATTTTTCGAGCTGATTGACCTTTTCTAGCTTCATGATCTGACACCTCAGTGATGAGATGTTGCACTATGCTTTCCAACATAACATACACATTGAAAATATAAATGTCCTCATGCAAGTTTTACTTTGTTAAAGTTTATTGTACAAGTTGGATCACTAGTAAGAGATCTCGAAAGTCTAATAAAATAAGGAAAGAAAAAAGATAATCTCTACCTACATTTTTTGGTACCAACCCTCATAAAAAAACTAAGGATTTGGGTTCTGAATCAACTGCACTATGCTCTTATTTTGGTCTGAACAATTGAAGAAAGCTCCGTGTCTTCCTAGTTGTTACAGTTTTTCCATCTATCAATGTATTGGTTTGATGAACAGTTTCTGTATCGGTATAGCCAGGTTGACTGTCCTTCGGCGTAACACACCAGCTTCGCAGGTTTCGAATTCATTGTTGACGTCTTGGCTCGTATCATAGCTTTTGGGCCTAGGTCAATTTTATTCTATTTTTTTCGCCTGTCGCTTCAGCTGGTGTGCTAAGGGCGGTTACACCGGCTATACAGATACAGATACAGATTTTTTTCTCGAAAAATCAAAGAGCCAACAAATCAAATTGGTGTGGCCTAAAATAAGCCACAAATGTTCACAATCCTCTTTGATATAAATTATTCATCTCACACATCAGTAGCTGCTCAACTGGATCCTTTCAGGTATTATTCTTTTTTCCCTTTAAAGCACTTGAACCCACTTTGTTTCTCTCCGCTTCACATGAAAGATTTGTGCGGTAGTGTTTTTTTTCTCCAAAGAAAGTACAGAAACCGCAGAAGGCTCATAGTAGTTATATTGCGTTATGTGGCCGTGTGGGTGTACTCAAAGAACAATTTCAGTACAAAACATATATTATCTTCACCAAAGAGGTTATGTTTTTGGTAGAATTTTTTGTATGTATGTATGTATGTATGTATGTATGTATGTATGTATGTATGTATGTATGTATGTATGTATGTATGTATGTGTGAATGTATGTATGTGTGAATGTGGTTTAGCAAATTGATAACTCAAGAGGCTACAGATGGTTTGTCATGAAAGTTGGTAGGTGTATAAGTCTTGATGAGACCTTGAATTTGAAATGATTAGATCTTTGGCTCTTGTTTGTAAATTTTATTGTACAGTATTCTCAATACATTACATGTTAGGTCTCAAACCAAAATATGTTCATTTGCCTGTATAAAACACATGCCACCAGAGTTATCAAACTTGAAGAGGCAGGTCTTCGTCATACAAAATGTACAAAGCATAGTTCCATGATCCAGACAACTCAACCAAATGTAGGATAATGATGTTTTGTCCCTGAAAGCGGGACATTGATTGAGAGAGCAGAATACAATACAGTAGTGGGACTGGTTTGGCCAGGACTAAATACAGCTCTAACTGAACGTGTCCCTTTGGGATGATAATATCCCATCATTTTGACATCAGAGACGAAACCTAAACAGGGTGTGGCAGTGAACACAGTTACAGCAACAAGGGCTTAGCAAGCACTTACCTCACTCCCTTTATATAAACAATGCTATTCATCAACACATTAGCATCAAATAATCAGGCAAGGTCACACAAATTTAACTACATTGTACATGTTTCACAAACCAACCTGGTTAAACACTACTTTCGCAAACAAAAACACATAAATCTATTGTAATCAGAACTGAAAACAATTTGTCTTGGCTGCATTTTAGATTGATCATGAGATAGGTTGTTATTTATAGCTGTTGATGAGAACATTCTTTTCTTCTTGCCTTGTTAGTTATTTCCTAAGATCCTACAGAAATGTTCAATGTACATCATGTTAATACCCACTTACGTTATATCTATGTAGTTTTAGTTTCCAGGAATAGACTAGTATGATTGTAAAGATCACATTGTTATCCTTGCCATACATTGTACCATATACAACTGTCGACCAATAAAAATCATTCATTCATATATTATCAATATGATTATGTATTTGAAGGGCTAGTAATAGGTCCCTCAAAATCCGAATAAAGGAAATACAGTAACTGCCTTGCACATCTTACCACATGTAACGCAAAACAGAAGCCTTGTTACATTCAAATTATGATTCCTTTAATAAGGCTTATATTATAAACTCAGGGAGGCACACGTCCCTTCGCTGCTGACTTCTGGGTAAATCGTGATTCTACATCTACCGGGAATCAGGCATGATCAGAATTTATAAGTTGTTCAATAAAAACGGAACATATCTTTGATGGCAGTAATAATTCAGACGTCCTTGGGTGCCCCTGGGTCGTGTTTCAGAGACGTTTATTTATTGATGGATCGCGCTGTTCAACACACCTGTTCCTGACATATAGAAAGCACACGTCTTTCAGCCAGGGCTCAAAATCTCTTTTTTATGCATACCTGTGCCAGCGAAGGTAAGGCCATGTTGATTTGATTATATGGATGACATCCGCGCGCGCATGAATTTTCGGCCGTTTCCAAAAAAAAAAAGTTTTCAACCATACTGTAAATCGTACAAAACAGTTGCAAATGAGCAAAAATATACCATAAGTTACAAAAAAATTAATAAAAACTATACCAATGTCGTAGAATGCCAAAATCAAACGAAAAAAGACGAAATTGTACAGAAATGAACTTGAAGACTAGATTATTCGCCAAACCATATTCTGTGCCATTTGCTCAACCCTCATGACCACGTAGATTTCATAGTGAAAAGTAACTTTTTTTTTTTGCAAAACTTTTTTTTTATTCGCACGCGCGCATCAGTTTTGGGGCTCCCGGAGGATGTCATCCATATAATCAAATCAACATGGCCTAATGTTGAAAATCACCTGCACCTGACAGACTTTACCTGAACCACTCAGACTTTGAGAAGTATGGATCATCATGCTAAAAACTGTTCAGAAAGTATTGCTACTGTTTCTTTTATTATACTTCATAGGTGGTGACAGTCATATGCAGCAAATAAAAATCAACATACACCTAGTACATGTATCAATCTGTCTACATACATGACCAGTGCAGGTTATAACTATGTGCAGGTAGACTTCAGAAATACCTGTACGAGTACCTGCATTTTCACCAAGTATTTTGAGCCCCGCTCTAGCTTAGCCTGCCAGGCATGCACACAACTTTCTGACACGAGGACAAGTTGAAAATCCCCCTCCCCAAAAAGCTATTAATCATACTAAGCTCCTCGTCACTTTAGATATGTCGTTGTCTCCAGGCTAGCTTCGCGAAGAGTGCGTAAACAAAGCTCCGGCTAGCTTTCGGAATTACAATTGAGTCTGTCAACATTTGATGGAGCTCTGTGGTATTTAATGTTGACAATGTCATAAAAGAAAATATGGTCGACATACTACAACAGTATTAATGGAGTCAGCTTGTCCCTGGGAGGCATGCAGAGAAAATGCCTCTTTTGCGTGTCTGTAGTCCATGAGATGAAATGCCGTACAAACAAAACTCAAAAGCTCTGAGGAAGGTTCCCTAGAACTGTGTAACGTTATATCTTCTTCACTGACTGGTGAACTTCAGCTGAATATTAAAGTCTTGAATGATCTAGAACCTAAACTTGACACCGCAGATGTTTCCGTGTTCGGTGGTACGACGTAACCTATAGCTCTGCAACAAGGGTTACAGTGACATGTTATACATGGACATGTGCTTTGAACACTGGCCTACCATAACCTTAATCCTCGAATGAAGAGAAACCCTGCACAGAGCTATCAGTGATGACAAACCAATTACATGTACCATGATCTAGTGGGATTTCATATGATGACAGCAGCCCAATGACCACGTGAATGTGGCACAGTGAACGAATGAATGAGGGTGGGAGGAGTCCATCCCTGGCTGCTGTTGTTATGTACACACATATCTCACCAGGTTGCCTTGGAAACTGCATCAACAACTTACTAATCTCCCATGATCTCCCTAAAAACCGGAAGATGCGGTTTTGGGGGGACACTGAAAACAGGAACACCTCATACGTGCCATTTTGTGAACCACTCTGATCTTCCTTCCCATGCACTTTCTCTCTGTTCTAATGGCAATGTGACAAATTAAAATACGAATAGGGGCTGATACTGAGACAAATGCTGTGACAGATATTACGCCCTTATAATGACCAGCGCTGCAAAAATGCACATCAGGGGTTGATGGACACCGTTGAAGCCTGATCAGCAATCGGAGACTTTGAAATGCCACTAGCCATGGATAGCTGGACGTAACGTTAGCCCCCAATGTTTTCTTGCTGGGCTGGCTCTACCGTGTTCGCGACATTTTGACTCTAGTCGCTAATTTCTTGAGGTATGCCCTGGCCTTAGACTCTGTCCACGTCATGCGACTGATAGTGGGAATATTCAAGAACATTTAGGAAAATTCTGGGAATATCTAAAAGGCAGTATTGGCTGGCAAGATGGCGTCGAAAATCTGGGAATTCCTATCCTACCCTACCATACTGAAACGCGTGTCAGTTTCAACAATAACAGCATGGTTCCCCCTCATCTATGCTCATAATTTCCTCGCTGGCGTTCACAAGCAGACACTGCGAGAATTTTAGATTGCTCCGTTTATAACGAGATTGCAAGGATATCAGGCAAACGCCACGACAACTTGCCATCGGACCCACCCCACATACATACCCTTTATTATTATCATGCAAGGGAGATGGCTCTCTTTACTTCCGACAACACACACACATACACACACACACAGGCAAGCAAGGGCGGAACTACTCACGTCCTCCCATTTGATGAACTTATTCCCTTCTTTCAGCTCCTTGGGAACCTCCACCGGCTTGAGCTGTAGAGCGTGAACTCCTGGCTTGGCTCCTGCCATGGTGGGACGGTGTTTTTTGGGGGGCAGAGAGAGAGAGAGGAGAGAGAGAGGGGAAGTGTCTTGCCGTTCGCCTGCCGCCCTCCTCACCGCTTCACGGAACTTCACAACACGGTACGGCACTGCGGCTGCCCAACGCAGAATCACACGCTGCCTGTTTCAACCGGTCTGCCGATTCAAAACCTCCGAACGCTAGAAAGATGTCTGATAACAGATTGTAGTACTATAAAAACTAACACGGCAAGCGAAGACTTTAGGTGCATGTCCTATCACACACAGTTGATTAAAGTTTCCGGCGTATCATCAGGTGTCTGTTGCAAATGTTTGGGTGCCTGATTAACAGACACATGATATATTGGCATTGGGCGGTGTCGTTTTGTTCCACGTAAAGAATCCCAATGTTTATCAGCTCTTGACCCAGATGACTACTTTCTTCGCCGGGCTATGTCGTGTATAGAAAATGCCAGATGTCTTTTATTTGCTGTACTATACAGGTTGTCTCGGTGAATGTCATAAATCGAACTTGAACGAGCTTGCACACTTTTCCCGCAGACTTCAACAAATAACTGAGCTAACAAGGGGTAACAATGCTGACCCTTGAACCACAGTGACTCAGAATTCCTCGGTAGTGGTTTAGGCGCCCATGCCAGGTGTGCGTTTGATGGCTACCAACCGGGGGCGACAAACACTTTGTAAATACATGTACTCAAAGCCGCTTAAGAGGGTCCATAACTTTCAACCGTTGTAAATTAAGCTGATATTGTTGCAACGTTATTTTTTTCCGTCATATATCATTAAAATGCGGATCCGGAATTTTGGTACCTTGCTTTCTGTGTGAAAGACGTGTTCTATTAAAAGCTGTATCGTTACATGTGGCCGGGGGGCAGCATTGGATATTGCCTTCGCCATTGCGGCATGTTTTCGGTAGCAGTCATGTATGTGTACGTCCGTCCGTCCGTCTGTCTGTTTGTGTGTAAACGCGATAATTTTAGATGGCTTAGATGGATTGTCGCGTGCGCGAACAAAAAAAGAATACTAAAAAAAACTAAAAACTAAAACTAAACAAGGCTCAACTCATAACCTTAAACCGCTAGCCTCTACCAGGCTTCAGAGGCAACTGGAAAGAGTAGGGGACTTGGTCCGCTATTAAAGGAGTACATTTTTCAGTCGCGGTTAAAATGTAGTCACTAGTCATTTAGCGGTTAGCGGACCAACTCCCATGGCATGTTATCCGTCGAGTTTACAATTTCTACTCTCCAAGCAGAGGTTTGGGTTTTGGGTTATTTTTGACGTGTTTTTAGACTTTTTTTATTGGGGTTTCTTTTTATTTGCACTGGAATTTTTCTTTCACCAACCCAATGACATCCTCTGGGCAGACGTGATGCAAGCGGGCGATGATAAAATGTTGTACAAATAAAAAGTTCTTCATTATGAACTCTACATGCATGGTTTAATAGGTGAAAGAAAAATTCCAGCGCAAAGAAGAAATCCCGATAAAAAAGTCTAAAAACACGCCAAAAATAACCCAAACCTCTGCTTGGAGAGTAGTGATTTTCTGAACTAGAGGATCTGTGATGCATCACAGGTGATTTAGACTAATCAGCGCCTGCGTGCGCCGTACGTGGGTGACAACTTTTCATGCGTATCCAAGATCAGCCGACAGGAAAGTTAAACAGCGGAGAACCTGAGCTGTTGTCGGATCTAGAACCGCGCCTGTCTAGTCCTATGCTTGAATGGGTTAGGGTTTAGGGTTTAGGATCAGGCACGGTTCTGGATAGTACGTCTCCGCGTATCCATGAACGTAGATATGCCCCATGAGGTACGATTCTGGATACGCCTGAGCTATCCTGAACAATGCCTGAGCATGCATATAGGTCTGGATAAAACACGGTTCTGGATACAGCAGAGCCACCTTGACGGCGGAAGGACTATTATATTACATTCTTTTATAACATTTACGCGAAATATCATTTTTGGTTTGTTTGTTTGTTTGTTTGTTTGTTTGTTTGTTTGTTTGTTTGTTTGTTTGGTTGGTTGGTTGGTTGGTTGGTTGGTTGGTTGGTTGGTTGGTTGGTTGGTTGGTTGGTTTCTTCGAGCCTTTGCTTATACGTGAAATACTCAAAAAGTGAGCCGGCCACTTTACATTGAAGACCCATTGAAGTCTTGAGGGAAGAGAGATCAGCGTCAGACAAAGTATGATTGACAAGATAGGGGTTACGTAGGACTGAAGTCCTACCAAGTTAAAACACAGAGTCTTTATTATAGTTTATAGTACACCCTTACAAATACATATACATGGCTTTACAAAAATCACTACGTTCCGGCTTACACATAACGTTACATGATCATACATGGCTCTACATTGAAAAACTAATGACGATGCTGTCAACATAATGCGCTAAATACAGGACTAGTTTGCTGGATTATAAAACGCTTCAAGTCACAATCCTACCACCGCCGCACAGGCCAGGCGCGCGCGTCAATTACGCCCATATTTGCTCGCCTGGACGGGTTGATGGGTTCGGCTCTGACGTCCGACGCCTGTCTCCGGGGGCTGAGAGCGCTCTTCTACTGTCCCTGTCAGTCTGCGTCTCTTCAGTGTAGATCACCCCACTGGAAACTAAAATCTCAAAGCAGATCCTTCGGTAAAACGTTGAACTTTATTCCAACGCACAATTTACAGAGAGATGAAATTTTCAGCGACCACGTTGTGCAGTGATTGTTCATTAATCATCCTGATGAAGGTGACAGTGGTCGCTGAAAATTTGATCTCTCTGTAAATTGTGTGTTAGAATAAAGTTCAACGTTTTACTTTGATTACTACCAACACAGATGAACTTTCATGATAATCAGATCATTCGGTACCAAGACGGTATCTCATTGGTCAGAGGAGTGTCGGTGGCAAGACAGTATCCAAGGGACACCCCTCTGGCTCTGGCCAATGGAGACTGTCTTGAGAGCGAAGGATCTGTTTGGATTACTGGAAACTGCCTACCTGCTTGCTGCCTCCGCTACCCTTTCTCCCCCCACAAGTATCAACTATAAGATGAATCCATCTTCTTTTTTACCTTCGTCAAGAAGGTTATGTTTTAGGTAGCGTTCGTGTGTGTGTG